CGCTGCCGCCTCGTCTGTTGCAGGCTCGGCGTGGTGCCCCGGCCCGGGCCGCGGGCGCAAGAAGCGGAAGCCCTACACCAAGCAGCAGATCGCGGAGCTGGAGAGCGAGTTCCTCCTCAGCGAGTTCATCAACCGGCAGAAGCGCAAGGAGCTCTCGCACAGGCTCCGCCTCAGCGACCAGCAGGTCAAGATCTGGTTCCAGAACCGGCGCATGAAGAAGAAGCGCGTGGTGATGCGGGAGCAGGCGCTGGCGCTCTACTAGCGCGGCCCGGGGCCCACGCACGGGGCCGGGGCTCTCCACGCCGGCCCTGCCCTGGGCCTCGCTCACACGAGGGGCTGAACTGCGGGCGGCCCCTGTCTGTAAGCCCCGTTTTGCAGGAAACGAGCAGATCAATAAAGGAGCCTTGCTTCGGCCCGCTCTCGCCTCTGTGCCCCGCGCCCGCCCCTTTGTCCTGTGCTTGGAGAACCCCGTGGGCACGCGGGGAGGGGGGCAACCGGGGGCAGCGGGCACTGGGTCGCCCACTGGGGCAGGTTAATCCCGTGTGGTCCTCGCGGGGCAGAGGCCCTGCTCCTGCACGCCTGGGCCAGGGTGGCCAGTGACTGCCTCTGCCCCCTGGCCTGAGCGCTGCAGCCCTGCCCGGGCCTTTGCCTCGCGGGACACAGATAGAGCTCGAGCTGGACACCTGGAGGGGGTGGCGGGTTCCTTCCACCCCTGCTGCCCACGAACTTGATCGACACCTGGTCTGCGGTGCCCGCCCTGCGCACACACTAAGGGCAGCCAGCTGAAGCGGGTCATCCCACTCGTGGCAGGATCAGGTGGCAGAGCCAAGGGCACGTGCTCCCAGCTCCCTCGCCCTCTCCACCTTGCAGGGCTTGACTAGCCCGGGTCCCCGCCCTGGACACTGCGAATGAAAGCCAATCCCCACCCCCGCGGGTCGCTCTGCCTGGCTTGGCTGTTCCCGGCGGAAAAGGACAGGAGGATCGGAGCTATCCCCGCGCCCCGCCAGCCCTGCCCTTTGTTTTCGTTTATGGCTCTAATTGTGGGCCTGGGCCGCGTTCAGCCTGCCCTTCCTGCAGCCTTTCGGGGCGGGCTGACTTTGGCCTTGCCCAAATGCTGCACTACATAAATAAATAAGTCTCGATCCGCAGCCGCAGGACCCGGGAGCGCTGCGGGTCAGAC